TGTTTTTTTTAAGTGCCGAGTGGCATAAATTGGATCAAACAACAAAACTTCGGTATAAACTTTTATTAATAAATTTGAATTTAATCGGCTGTAATTTGGCAGCCGAATAACCCAATTTGGACTAGTGATTAGTTATATAATTAAGGATGCTTATTTAGCATGCCTGTTTGAGTATATTGAAAAATATACTATATCGATTGGCCAGGCTACTGTCCAAAATATATAATTATGATAATAACATATATCCTTAATAGTTGATAGTACGTGATAGTAATTATTGATTGGTTGAATAATTGGCTGGATATAATAGATTTAAATGTAGTGGTTGTTGATTTGTAAAGTTAGAGCTGTGTTGTTGTTTTTGAATTGATGATTGATGAAACATGCTTATTGTTTTGATGTTTATTAATAGAATAAGATCATGTGGTTAAATAGATTTTCATTTTTGATGTTGTTTACATTGATTTTTGGCAGGTATAATGGACATGTTTGAATATTTGGTAATGTGTGATTGATTGAAGATAGAATATTGATTGGTTGCCAGGGGCAAACTAATTGTGGTTTTTTGGAAAAAAGTTTTTAAGTAAGAATTTTTGATTTTTGTGACATAGTAAAATATATTGAACAATAGTAAAAGTTGTTTTTTGTATATACCAATAGTTCCTCAGACCAGTGATATAAACAAAGTTAATGTAAAAGTTTGTATTTTGAAATGAAATAAAGTCTTCCAAGTCAAGAACATAAATATTTAAAAGTGTTTGTGTATTAATAAGAGGTGTTTTAATAAGAAATATAAATAGAAAAAACCCCAAGAAAAACTTATAAAAAAGCAACTGCCACAAGCCTTTCCTCATGCAATTCAAAAGAGAAACAAGTTCTCCAAGCTTGCTTACTTCTGACCAGAGGTCCCATTTTGATACACTAGTATGCTTTTTTAGTTCCTTGAGGTTTTTGATATTGAAAGTTAAAGAGGTATAGAGAACTTATAGGTATTGGAAAGCAAAGAAAATATTTTTTCTAATTTTGAAAATTACTATAAAAGAAAATTTTTAGGAAAATGTTGTATATGGGAAAGGGTTTTTTTTATATAATTGATATTATTTGTTATTATAATAGTTATTATTATTATTGTTGTTGTATTGAAAAACCAGATTAAATATGTTTAGTTTTTGTTTTATTATTTTGATAAAATTTGATTAAATAATTGGAGAACAACAATTATTTAAAAGAAGTAAACTAATTTTGATTTTTTGAAAATTTTAAAATGATATAATAAATAGTATTATGGTAAAACTATATATAAAAGTTGTATTAAAACAAACAATAGATTTAACAACTTTTTTTAATTATATTTTTTGAAAAGTATTTGATTTAGCAAGTATAATAATATTAATATGAATAGTTTTTATAATATAATAAAAATAAGAAAGAATATTACATAAAAAAACTCTTATCCATTTACCACTGATTTTTTGAAAATTTTCTTTTTAGAAAATCTTCTCTCAAGAAGTGTTTTCTTCTCTTTATTCTCTAAAGCAAATAAGCTTTAAACCCAAAGGACATAAAAACTTCAAGGAATACTGTTACATTGGGATGGAACCTCTGGTCAAGACCTAAGCAAGTTGGAAGTCTTCCTTAGCTCTTGGTTGCATGGAGAAAGGCCTGTGGCAACCTTTTTTCATAATTTTTTGTCTTTAGATATCTTCCCCTTTATAATTATAATAACTGTTTTCCCTCTTACCTTTTACTTTCTATAACACAAACTCAATTCTAATAACACATTCAAATAAAATTACTGGATCGAATGTTTGTCTTAACACAACCTTTGAAAATTTATTATTTTTCTTCTTTATCTTAAAACAATATTATATATTACTTCTTCACTATTCTACAATTTTCAAATTTACTTAAAAACTGTAATCAGTTTCACTCCATCCAAAGATTTATATTTAATAAATGATCAATAAAACATTTTTACTTCTTAATAATAACATCAAACCTGTATAAACTTATTCATAACCGGTTTCTTATCAAAAATTTCCACACCTAACAATAATTTCTCTATCAAAATACATATATACTAATAATAACAATAACAACAATCATAATTGACTAACACATACTAGATTGGGAGAGCATGTGACTGTACCCTGCATAGGTTCCAATAATCTTTAACTAAAAAAATCACCAAAATGATACAATAAGATTGGAGCAGGCTCCATATCAGATTCTCAACTTCACCACCAATCTACAAACCATACAACTTTCCACAATTATCATTAACAATAGAGTTGCAACCCATGAGCAGCAATACTACTGTTAAAGAAAAAAGGCAGTTTAAGCCTAACCAATATGAATGAAAGTAAATACTTTTATTGCAAGTGGAAGTGAAATACTAGGGAGTTGCGCTCTATAATCTGGCAGCTTAAGCCAATGCTTCTTTACTGCTGCTAAAATTGCATCTAGCTATTGAAAAGAAAGTGGTAACCTAGGTAGACATATTTGATTTATGTCCTATAGGAGGAATTGTTAATATAAAAGATAATTGTATTCAAAACCCAATACTCACTATTACCACTTTAACAATTTTCATTTCTAATTCTTTAACTATATGCGACTTTCAAGAAGTGATTAACTCTAACTTCAAATTAATATATATAGTAACTTTACGTCAAAAACTATCAACCTTCAACTTTTAATATCTCTACATTTCTTCACTTACACTATGGTGATCTTGCCTCTCAAATTTTTATATAGATAATTTATTTTGTCCTTATACGTAGATAGTTTCTTTCTTAACTTTTTTCCTGCTTAAAGGTTTTTTATTAGAAATGTATCTACCATAATAGGTAATAGACTAATATGTATATAGTTTTACTTTGTTCATATATCTCATATCTTAAAAATTAATCATGTAATAATAATAATAATATATTAATAAAGATCATGAGACATGTCTCACCTTAACAATAAAAAAAAAAATAAGAAAGAATACAATAAAACAAAACAAAAAATAGAACTATCACAAGTCTTTTCTTATATAATCAAAGATAAATAAGACTTTTAAACTTGAGTAGACTTTAACCAGAAATTTCATTTCATTGTATTAGTTGTCTTGAAGGTTCTTGAGTTCTTGAGTTGGGACTCACTTGTAATAAAGAGTGTAAAACATTTTTTTTTGCTTAAAATTATTATAAAAAAATTTTTTTTAACAAAATAGATACAATTAGGAGAGTTTTGAATTTAATTATATTTATCTAAAATTAAATTTGATATTTGTATTATAAATTTAAAAGCATTAATTATTATATTATTGATTTATAGATTATAATAGATTATATATATTAATAATAATATAATTAAAAAATCTTATTATAGATCTTCTATCTCTTATTATAAACAAATTTATTAATAGCAATTATAATTTTTTTATACAGTTAAAAAATTTAATTTCAAACTTTAATAATTTTATTAATAATTTTAAATAAATATTTATGATTACTTGGTATTATCTTCAATGTATAATGATTTTAATATTTATTTTTCTTACTGCTTAGATGGTTTCATATAGGCAAGCTAGCATTAAACTTACAGTATTAACATATCAAGTTATATAAGAAATATTATTTTTAAAAATAATAATATTTATCTACAAAAAAAAAATTGTTAATAATATAATAAAAAAATTACACCTAAAGCTAATTGCAGAAAAATATAATGCTAAGCTATAAAATAAAAAAATCTGTTTTTAACATTAAAATATGTATTATGCAAATTTACTTTTAAGCCAATTGTATAAAAAGTGATTGTCATGTAATCGATCAATTTCATTTAAATCAAAAAAAAATGTTATCTACATCTAATACGAAATGTTAAGTTTAGTGTCCAACTATAGGTTAAACCACACGATGACGTTCAAATTACACAATATGCGAAGGTATTTGTCGATATTTACAGCAGCTTGGAAGTCTAACGATTTGAATATTAACATTAACGACCCGAAATTGACATACGAAGAACACGGTCAGGTAGAAAATCCAAGGAATTCGACGAAAATCGTAAATAGTTATGTTAAGTACGCGTCGTCCTTGGAAGTTTCAACTGGAACGCCGCAGAATAATAGCGACAGAGATATTTCAACAAATTCAAAGTTGATAAAGATGGTCGAATTTCCTGAAAAAAAACCGGAGTTTGTCGAGAAACCCATAACACTTTTACATAATCTAAGTCTCTACAGAAATGATCCGTGGAAGGCGTGGGAATCGTACAGGATCATCATTGACAATAATCTCATTAAATTCATGACTAATGAGCACATAAGACAATTTCTTGGGCTTTTATGTAATAATCCTAATAATATGACTTTTGAATGGCTAAGTCAAGTTATGAAAGATATACTTATAAATCGTCAAAAAAGAATGATGGATTCAGTTCTTTATGCAAATGTATTACAATCACTGACCGGATTGGGAGATGCCACAATTGTAGCAGATATGATTAGACAAATGACATTATTAGGATACTATGTTGAACAGTCACATGTAAAGAACATTTTAGCGCAGTGCTCGGATTTTGAGTCGGCATACAAAATAATTGATGCTGTGATTGCAAGTCATCCGGAGGCTAATTGCGAGTGGTATCACATTATAATATGCATGTATTGCGAAAAGGGGAATACCGATGCGGCCATAAATACACTTAGGCTATACAATCTGTCAGGACAAAGGCCTAGAATAAAGTTTTATAGCGTCATAATTCATGAGCTTTGCAGAAAGGACGAGATGAAAGTCGCAGAAGAACTCGTGGATGAACTGACCAGCTTCTTTGGACCTCCTAATGAAGTGATGTATAACTCTCTAATCAGTGGATACAATAGAAGAAACGATATGAATATGGTGACAGAAGTATACAGTAAGATGATAGAATCAGGTGTTCAGCCAAGGAGAAGTATATATACCACCCTAATATTTGCGAATCTTCGTCAAAGGGATATATATGATGCATCGAAATTATATAAAAGCATTATGGAACAAGATTTGAAACATAATCGGTATTTGTTTATCGCCTTGATTTATTTACGTGGAATTCTCGCGGATTCCGATGGGGCAAGGGAGGTGTTCGAGAAAATGAAGGTTGTCGGAATCATTCCTGATATAATGTCGTATAACCAATTGATATTTGCACATGACCGTGATGAAAAAGTTGATGTATCCAAGATCGAGGCTTTATATTTGGAAATATTGTCTGAGAACTTAACACCAAACCGATACACATTTGAATTACTAATTGACGCGTTATCAAGAAGGGGCGAATATTCAAAGATCCCAGGAGTTTTTCGTGAGATATCGAACAGAAATGTTCCTATAACAAGTGCCGCTTTCAATTCGCCAATCCGTCATCTTAGTTTAGCAGGAAATACAGAAATTGCATGGAAGTTTTTTAACCGAATGATATCAGCTGGAATAGAACCGGATCTGTACACATATTCTTCGATCATATCACTTGCCGTCGCAGATTCGGATTTTGAGGTAGCTATCAAGGCTTTCAAGGATCTGTTGTCACGTAGACTGACACCCAATGTTTATGTCTATTCTGCCATAATCACTTCACTAGCAAAATCGGGATATCCGAATCATGCAATCGCGATGCTTAACCACATGAATAGTCAGGGTGTTATACCTAATGTTGTTACGTTTACTGCTTTAATTCAAGGTTTTAAATTTGTGAAGAATTACGAAAAAGGACGAAAAGTATACGAAATTATGAAGCGATCCAACGTGATCCCGGACAGAATGACTTATTATCACCTGGAAAAGCTGTATAAGATTACTAGACACGCAGATGAGATACCGCATTTGCACGAAGACATGAGGAAATATGGTATTAATCCAAACTCTCATGGCCGCATTTTGACCAAAGGGAAGGGCTCTTTCTATTGGAGATCGAGGTTCCTGATTAATCGTAGAATTGAACGACAAAAGGCAGCAGTCGATCCGGAAGAGCAGTATGAGATCAAAAAGCGACAACGTTCATTATGGAAATGGCGAAACAAATTTCGGGAAAAAGCATTACGGAGATTGTATGCAAAACTTAGACGTAGTGGTGATCCGAAACCGTACCCTGAATGGAAAAAGAAATATATTCGGGAAAATTTTTTAGAACTGCAACGTTACAAGAGATTGGGAATGTTTCCGTTTTGATTGATTTCTTTAGGGGATGATTTATGATGAGAGTGGCGAAGAAAAAAAGATTAACACCGGGATATTTCAGAGTATTTGGAAAGCCCGTATTATTAGCATGGTAGGTATAGATGCATTTTGATTTCATTATTGCTAATCGTTATTTTTAGTTCATAGAAAGTATCTTTCCTGTTTAGGGGATAAACTTTGAGCGAGCAAGTCGAAAGTTTTATAAACAAATTATTTGTTGTAAGAAAAGATGAATAAAAAAAAATCTCTCCTTAAATTATTTGAAACACTTAATCTATTTTTTTTTTTAAAAAAATACAATTAATATATTTATCAAAAAATAAGTTAGAAGCAATAAATTAATAGTTTTCAAATTTGTACATATTTATAAAAAATAAAAGATCGGTTTTACTATAATTAATTGGAAATAGTTATCATATATTAAACCTTTTATTTTATTAATAAAAATAACTTTTATGTATTAAGTAAACTTGTTCCTCATAATTAATTCTATATATGATTAAATTTTTATTAAATTTGAATAAACTTTTATTATTATATTTAATGATTTTTTTCTAAATGAAAATTTATTTATTTTTTTATTAAAATTTTGACACCACATGATTTTTATAACTACTGTTTACAAATAATTTGATATTAATAAATTTTGTTTAGCATATATTAAAGTATTTAAATATTAAATTCATAAATTTTTATCTGGTATTTAAATTTTTATTTCATAAAATGTAAAAAATTTTATTTTAATAAAAATTATAAAATTTAATAAAAACTTTACAGTATATGTATTTTATTTTGAAAAATAACTTTGCTTAATACATAATAAAAAAATTTTTAAATATACAGTATATAACAAAAATAATGGCACTACATATCAATTTTATTTTTGTAATATTTTAATACCTAATTTATAAAATAAGAAAAAAATTCATATTAATGTATTTAAGAATATAAAAAACAAGTTTATTTAATAAAGTTTTTAAAATATATTATAAAAATTTTCTTAAAATTTAATTTAAAAAAAGTTTTTTTTTTAAAATAATTGATTTTAGTTACATTATAAAAATAGAAATAATAAAAATTATTAAAATTATTTCAATGTATATATTTGTTAAATAAAAGTTATAATAATAACAATATAATAATATTTTTTTTTATTAAGTATAAAAAGTTATTTAATAATTAACTTATTTTAAAGTTTAGTTAAATTTTATTAAAAAATATAAATTTTATATTAAATATAAAGTTTTTAAAGATTTTAAAGATTTTTTAAAAATAATTTTATATAATAAAAAAGAAACCAATTTTAATAAATCTTTTATAATTTTTTATAAGTCTTATCTTAATTAAATTATTATTTATTAAATTATAATAAAAAATATCAATGCAATTATTTTTTTATATACTGTAACTATTATTATTAATTAATTAAAATTAATTAATAATTATAATTAAATATCAAAATTATTATTATTATTAAAATTTTATTTATTTAAAGAGTTATTTTATTTAAATAATAAAAGTTATTATATAAAATCATTTATATTTAATATTTTTTGAATAATATTTGTCATTTATAATAATATAAACTTTAAAAAATATATTATTAATAAAATAATATATACAGTATGAGTCATATATTTTTGGAATTTTTTTAACTTTGTATTTTATCTTAATATTAAATAAAAAAA